ATGAGTCCCAGGTGTGACCTTAGGTATTACCACCGATCACCTACATCATTTGAGAATTTGAGGGGTGCACAACTGGTACAGTGTCGTGGTTTCGAAAACCAGCGTGTAAAGTGACGAAAACCGCAAAGACTCCTCCAACAACCTATATAGCATCTCAAAACTCTCTGAAACTTTGGTGGAAAATGCTTGGTGCCTCGGTTAACAGTGATCAGACGATGACATAAGAAGGAGATGGGCGAAAAGAATTGTAGTTGATGTAAATGTGAAATACCTACTCTAAATTAATCTTCGCTCTTTGAGAGTCTAATTTGAAAGCAGGATATCTGTAAAAAATCTAAACGGGAGTATTAGCAAGCCATCGTCACATATTGCAGCTGTAACTGCTTCATTCATCGAAACAGGGTTGGAAGGGAAGCGACGTAAGTGGAGGACTGGTGACCCTGTACTAGAGCTATAAGAGTGATTCTGTGATTCAAGACAAGAAACGCAACCAGCTTGCCTAAGCAAGTTGTCGTCTAGACGAAACCTTTCCAATGTTTCAGATGGGGACATTGCATGGCGCGTACCACGTCGAAATGGATCTGCACCAATTTTATCATTTACTCCATCAAATAGATTTATCTAGGAGCAATTTGAGGGTTTTGGCAAATCTCGACGCGGTTTTCTCGCGAGTCAGAAAACAAACAGAATACCTACAGCACCTATCAGAATGACAGAGCTCAAATTTACGAAATGTTGCCATCGAGGAAAACTACAGTCTTCCAAATCTTGAATACTCGCGTATAAATTATGTACTCCTCGACAGATGCTCGACGTCTCCACTTCTTTGAATAAGACATGACTAGAAAAAGCTTACTACAATTCAGAAATTGGAAGACTCGTGCTCCAGAATCTGCCCTTCCTTGTGGAAATGACTGGATAGAGAGAATATAGCCCACCAAATAGGGGGCACATTTGTCGGTTTTCGGTTTATGCCACTCCACTGGAACGCGAGACTTTTCAAGTGCCTGTAAGCAGTATCTCCTTCCTTTTTCTACTTGCCGGCTTGTGACACGAAATAAATAGTCCTGAAAGGATGGAACAAAAGCCATTCTGCGGAATTAGATTAAGGCTTAACCTCTTGAATCGTTCACAATTCGCATGCAGCGGTGCATTCTGTCGTGTATCCAAAACTAACATTTGTTTGCAGTGTGAACGGGGGAAACTTATATTGAAGCAACAGTCCCAGCAGGGTGGGCGTGGTCTGGAAACGGCTGCAATCCCCTCGGCCGATTCCCACTTCGGAGCTGTTCAGCCCCTAGTCAAGAACGTAAGAAGTGTGACTGAACAAAAACTCACCTTGGAAAGCCGCTAGGAGGGAGCTGAAGTGGGCGTGGTCGGAATCGGCCGAGGGGATTGCAGTCGTTTCCGACCACGCCCACCCTGCTGGGACTGTTGCTTTTAGGTAGAGGGCTCCTAGAAACGCGGCACGATTTTCACCATACTTGTCAGTATTCTTTCTTACGCTTTCGTTGGTGCAGGCATTTTATGTGGCGGATGTCTGTGTCCTTGTCGATATTCTCCTTTTTCGGCTGTACTTCCGACCGCTACTTCATCTGTTGTATTTTGATAGGTTTTCATGGGTGCTAGCGAGTATGTGTACTACATACTTTACTCACTCTCGATTTCGATTACAATTTGCAGTGGGTGGATTCGTTGGTGGAGAGTCTCTCGCTTCTGTGGAATATTTCAGCATTTAAAGAGGAAAATCCTAAATGGCAGATTGCTCCTTCCATGAGCAAGCAAAGGTATGGTATTCTGTACTGAAGGTGCTTCTGTGCTGAGAAAACTTTTTCAGAGGTGGAGCCGGTGTCGCTGTTCTCAACGGCTTGCTCTACGCTGCTGGCGGCCGTTGTGGGGAGACCTATTTGAGCTGCATTGAGAGGTTTTTTTTGCGATTTGAGAGATATCGAAGCGAAAATATCACAAATAATTCAAATAATGTGTTAACAGCCCAAAATAACTCACAAAGTAGGATGTGTAGCAACGCATGCGACCAGTTCTACATGAAAAAATTTCTTTCGAAGAAATCGAGAAATAACATGTACTACGCATAGATGAGGGCGGAAGTGGTGTAGTGGCAAGTGGCACGCTTACCACGCGAGCGGTCCGGGGATCAAATCCTGGGTCGTGAGTCGCCCGGGCCAACCAAGCCTTCCATCCCTCCGGGGTCGGTTAATTGGTACCAGACTTGTCTGGGAGGATAAAAACACTGACTTGTACATCGGCTGGCCCCGCAAGTCATTGTATAGGCCACATCGCATTCAAACGCCACTACGAATGTACAAATGGAAGTAGAATGCGTGCCGCATCCCAAAAAGGGATTGATCAACGGCAAATGCTTTATCCTTTGTTCTTTATAGATGAGGGTAAGTCACGGAGGATTTGCCTTGCTGGGTCCAAGGGATATTATTGTCGGGATTTTCCACTGACGTGAAGGTGATAGGTTGGGTATTTTCAGGACTTCAAACAGCTAAATGGGTGAAATTTGCTGTTTGACAACTACTGATAACCAGTGATAGCATGTTTAATGATGCCACCAATAACAACAGCTATTGGAGCAAGAGGTGAGGGAGGGCTCCAGTGTGTAGTGTATTGTGGGAAGATAGTGAAATGGGGCGGATGGAAGGGAGGGCCTAGTGCCAGAACTTTCTCGTCACGTGTGTCTCTTCTCGCTATACCTTGTTGTGAATGGACTCAGCATATACCATACTACTGCGGTAGACTCATAGTCAGGGTCAAGCGAGGCGTCGAGGAAAATTTGGAAATACGACCCCCCCCCCTCCCTCCGCCAGAGGCCGAAGTCCATGAAACGACCCTCTTCAAAAGCCGAACTATGAAAAGGTTGTTTAATTCTCCCCAAAACTGTTCATAAAAAAGCCCTGCTACCCCACCGTCCACCAAAAAATTCGTTTAAGAAGTACAAAAGTGAAAAAGTCAAAGAATGATCATTATTGATGAGTCCTACCAAACGAGCAAACGAGAAACGGAGCAAAAAACGACAAACTAGTCACTAAAAATGGCATACTATGACAACATCTCTTCTTTATTTATTTCCTTCACAAGACTTACCAAATTCTAGTACTACACAGATTATGGTTCTCAATTTACACGTCCCCCTTTCAGTTGAAAGAAGCCTTGTAACCGCCTTAGCCAGCTGTGTGTTGACTGATCTTTGGCGTTGACCGTGGAGCAGCTTATCTACTATTGAAATTTGAACAAATATTCAAATGATTATAACTTTCTTCAAATATGACGAATTTTCAATCTGAAAGCAGATTTGGAGTTTTGTGAAGAGCTCTTTCTAATCAGTATTGAAATTACAAAAATTTATAAGAAATAACAAATTTAGATCAATTAACGAGGAAAATTCATGATGAGCACGAGTTTTTACACTTTCCGAAGCCATAACTTGCTTCATTTTCGTCAAATTCAAAAAGTTAATACGTCATACAAAACTAGAAGATTTTCTCTATCAAACGGTTGCTAAAGCAGCTTCATACGTCCAGTATTTAAAAAATGGCCACGTTGAGGATTTTT